TGCAATGCAAAATGAAACCATACCAAGTAATTTTGGTCTAGTTTCAAGTGCAAACTTGAAATAAGACAAAACTAACTTAGAAGTAACTTTTTAGTAAAACATAGAGGCTTGTTTTAAGTAATAACCCTAACCAAATTTGAAACACATTTGAGACCACACGTAGCTTTAAGAGAGCATCGGTTGGACACGTTTAGCTTTTAGCTTTGGTGTCTGATTAAATAAAAGTAGCGCCACCATTGTACTGTCACTTTAGTCGCTGTTTTCATTACATTGAGACGATCTGAATGGGCACTGCCATTAGGGGGAATGAAGCGGATGTGGCGAATGTAATCTGAACTGGGAATGACTTGAATGAGTCATCAGCTGTTTCTGATCCAATCTGGTGCCACAGTGGACTCGGATGACGGACTGGCCGGTTTCCAGATGCAATAAAATGTTCCTGATACCTTCACACAGTAATGGCAAAGAATATGCATTTATTTTGTAGGGATGCACAACCATCTGATTTCAGATCTTTGATTTTTGTGAAGAAATACCAGTTGGTCGTTTTTTCTGACTCTGGGAGTTATAGGAGGATAAAAACCAGCAGGGAGAGGAGGAATGATGAAAGTTTGGACAGGCTGTCATTCTGATCAAGCTGACGAGTTGGTGTAAAAATTAGTCGTCTACATTTCAGGGGTTAATATTTATACGCACTTCACATTTTTTAGTTAGGATTGCCAAATAGGCCTGATGCAGTAAGCAATAAATCACATGATAAATTAAAACAAGTTCAAAATTTTTTGCATACTTTATTGTTTTTCTCTTTCTTCCAAAAACTGGATGATAAAAGTCTTCAGTCTGGTGTTTTAGTCTCAACTTGCCCTTTCTTTGAAGGACAGTTTTGTTTACATAGACTTCATAATTAATTTATCTGTCGTTTCTGTTATTTTGTTTACTTAATTTGGATATTTAAAATGTCTTCCAGCCCCAGGGTTAAACGTTCATTAGAATCTAAGTTTATTAATTTGCTTTATTTTTACCATTAGATCACTTGAAAATGGTCTCAAAACGACAATATTATGGTGTATCGCAATGACTTCAATTTATCGTCCAGCAAAATTTGTTGTCGTGAAAGGTCTAGTTGCCGAAATGATCCTAAGCTAATCGGTACGAAGGTAACTGGTAGTAAGCATCTCATTGTTTTGTTACAAAGACACATATTGATAGTCAAATCAAAGATTTATGTGTGTAAATTCTAATGGGAGCGCTGTCGCTGCATGAAAACGTGCTGCAGGAACTGCGGTATTTACATCAAAGCACCTTTTTATGCTATTGTTTATTTTTAAGCATTTTTCTGAAGGTAGATTTCACAAGCCAATATTATTCAAGTCTTTACTCAACCATTTTATATGAACAAAATCCATCCAACGTCTTTCACACTCACATTCTTATTCTTCCTCTAGCTTGGACTTTAACGTTGATTTCTGCAAATAACCTTACAGACCTGATGGACGACTCGGAGAACTTTCTTGCCTGTCGTCTTTGCCTCATTGTTGGCTGATGAGGCAAAAATGACTCTGGTAACGCATTGAGTTCCACTACCTCTAACATTATAGTGTTTGTTTGTCGGAGGTTTGCTGTACTTCCGCATGGCAGCGGAGCTGGTGTCATGTTGATTGCAGAGACAGACTTTAGCTGATGTCAAAACTGTAACTAAACTCTCAAGAAAACACCATTTATCCCCGCTGAAGACTGGTGTGTTGATGGTAAAAAAAAAGAAACAATTTTTTCTGCCATTTGCTGCTTCTTTGTCATCTCTTTTGGGTTTGTGTAGTTTCATTTTCACTTTGTATCTTAGCACTCCTAAATTAAATTATCTTTCCCCATAAAGACATTAAATTCAGTCTTTTTCTCTGCAAATTTGATCACAGGGAATGAATTCATCCAACCTCGTGACTGCGTCTCTGCCATCGATTTAACCTGATCCGTGTTGTCTGGGGGAATTGGTTCAGGGTGACAGTAACGCTGAGATGTGTCGGCGATGCCTCGGAGATTAGATAAAGGTTATCTTTTGGAGATTGGGCTGACAATAAAATAAGACGCCGTGGATGATTAAACGAGCAAAGGACCTTTCAGTCTGGGATACAGTACTGCATCTGGGAGAGGAAAGGTCATTTTAATATAAATGGAAATTATTACTGCTGTCTGTGATTATGGAGCATGACACGGGTAATTTAGAGACTGTAAGTAAAAAAAAACAAACGTATATGACAATGTAGGCCTGTTAATCAACTTTGGTGTGACATGAAATTACTTACTTCCCTTACACACACATTGTATAAAGCTGGCTGCACAAAATTATGATTCTGCTGCACATAGTTGAAAAATTGACCTTTTTTTTATCTTTCATTCACCACAAAGCAAGTTTCACAAATATAGTCACAATATAAAAACTTAAGAGATGAGTAAATAAATAAAACTCTTTTTTCCAGGGAAAGATTACAGCGTTCGAAATATAAAACTTATAAAACTTACTTATAAAACACAATTTAAATTTCAAGCTTACAAAGTTATGCATAGTGATTAATCGTGACTAACCACACTGCTAGTGTGATTAATCTGATTAAAGTTTTTAATATATTGACAGCACCATAAAAAAACCTTAATATTAAGTGTCTATTATAAGAGTGGGTGGTTTCATTGAGTTTGGTCTCTAAAAAATAAAATTGGATTGTCGAACCACATTTGCCATCATAAACTAAATTATTTGGTTTTTCAAATGAGGCTTTTTCACTTTTTATTTTACATTTTAAATGTTTTATCCATCCAGTCATGTAGGGTGAAAATATGACTTCTTCTATCTAGGGCTGAAGCGATTAATCGTGATGAATCAATGATTGAAACAACCATCAACTAATTTTAGGAGACGATTAATCGTTAACTGGAGTATACAGACTCAAACAAGGCCGTTTGCTGAAAAAACCTTTTCAGCAGTAATTAAGCCAAATCTGTACAAAACAATTATACATTTTGCATTTAAGATGAGAAAAACCTATGTCTGTAAATATGTTCTAGCTAAAACTCCTCAAGTGGCAATAAAATGTTTTTTTATATTAAAAATAGGAATTAAATATTTGATTTGCATCTTTTAATATATTTCTACAAAAAGCGGTTCAATGAAAAAATATGTTGAGTGCACAAATTTTTTAAAAATCCGATTAATCAATAGAATAACCGATAACCCGATTAATCGTTGGTTGCATCCCTTATTCTAGATGAAGATAACAGACGTCAGAGGAAGGAGCAGAGGCGCAGAGAAAGGGGAGCAGTGTGTTTGTGGTTAAGCTCTATTTTTGGTACTCCGCTGTGGAGGAGCCAGCCCAGCTGTCGAAGTGGTTTCCTGCATGAGTGTAATCTCAGAGGACAGGGCCGTGGTGAGATTCTCACAGACACCCGCGCTCTAATGCATCCCCGACCCCTGAAACAAATGACCCAAATACTGGCTGAATGAAGGCATTCGGCTGACATTCGGCTGCACATGGAGCTCCATTTACACAGAGGTTATTGTCTTTTTGTTTTGAGCCGAAACCAAAGTCTTTAGTCTGCACTAATCCAGCTCATGGTGTCATGGATTTGTGAAGAAAGGAAAGCTGATGGATAATAATCATCAGTCTCCTTCAGATGGTAGATAGGCGTTGTTTGTTTTTCTTTGGTGTTTGTTTGACTTTGGATAGATCTTGACTTTCAACACAGCAGAAAAAAGGACAATGTATAGGACAGTAAGTCCTGTACATTGAAGAGCATTTATTGTATTGTTTATTACTTATCGTGATAAATTTCTTGTCATAAGAATTTTAATTTATTATTATAGATTTGACATCATGGTAAACCCTCCCAACCCCCCAGAATCTTTATTTTTTTCACAAGAGACTCAAATATCAGTAGATTAAATTAGAGTAAATTACGATGTAGGAGCAAGCATTTATTGTATTGTTTATCATTTATCGTAATAAATTTCTTGTCATAAAAACTTCAATTTATCGTGATAAATTTCATTTCAGGTGAAAAACAAAATAATCTTTTTTTTTTTCACAATATCAGTAATGTTTTTGCATTTCCATTTCGGTCTCAACCACTTCTAAAAGCAGCCTAGGTACTTAAATAAAACTACTCAGCCCGTTACCTAGCAACCCTAGCTGGTTTCTACTGCTGCATGCGTTGTACAATGGCTCCTGGAAAAGATAAGTGTTTTGTTGTTGACTTGCCATCCAGAAATTACTTGGTGCATTCTTGTTGGTTTGGCAGGAGGCTCCACTTCTGCTTTTCAAATATATGTAGTTGTATAACTGTTTGCAGCCATTTCCACGTGTGAGTGGAAAAGTTGACTTTTGGATGCGTGGCCAGCAGCAGCTTATTTGGATTTAAAGTGACCAGACGCCCTAAAACGGCCAACTCTGAAAGGAGCTCAAAATAAGATTAAAATCTCATTTTCTAAGAATGATTTTGTGCAAAACGTGCAATGAACATGCTTTGTAAAAGCCCACACATCTATCCTAACCTGTTCAGGGAGCATAACAGGTCACCTTTAATTTTTTGGGGGTGTTGTGTAATAGATGAACAATAAAGTATCTCATAATTCTGACTAAAATAATTATCCAGCACTAAACAGTAAAACATAATAAAACCTGGAGGCAGATAATTGGCCTGTGATTAATCATTCGATGAATCATTACAGCCCTAATAATAATCGTTGTCGTTTTGTCAGGAGGAGTGAATACTTTCAGAATACACTGTAAATTGGTAATTCAGAAGAAATGAATGACTTTGAGAAAAGAAGGCGCCCATCAGAGTTTTATCTCCACGAATCCTGACCTTAAATCTTTTCCAAACATTTAGAAGGGCTGGCATTTGCTCTATTTGTTCGCCTCTCCCTAAACTGTGAGCCGAGTGGGAGGCCGTTGGAGCGTTAATGAGCTCTGAACCAGCTGCAACAAATCAACAGCCGGCCGCGTCTCTGAGCAACAGTCGGCGATGGCGTGAACGCTCACTTACTGACTCGGCGTTTACGCTCAGCCCCTGTGTGGCTGAGATTCCCTGCTGCAGTCGGGACGTCTCCGTCTTTTCTCTGCATGTAAGTTTTAGTGGCGTTTCTGTTTATTGGTGCTAAATGTTTAACGTCTGGCTGCGATTTACATGCGACTGTTTGAAGACAGCAAAACTGAGTCACCAGCAGTAGTTCAGGGTTGAACAAAAATGTGGTTGTGATTTTTAAAAAGGTGGCAGCATAGAGTTGGGTTGGACCTCTTGTCATTTTTAGCAAATTAAATTAGTGTTTGAAAACTGATATCTGTATTTATTAAATACATTTCTGGTCAGATATTAGAACTTGTTTGCAAAATATTCAAGAATAAACGATTAAAGACAATAGATGAGTGGTAAATAATACATATTTAAGTTGATTTGGGAGTTTTTCATTGAAGACGCAGCAAAAATACAAAATTATTCCCAGAATCTTTGGTCCATTTTTTTGTGAAAATTTCTTAGTTTTGTCAAGTTACAAGTAGCTTTTCATGAAGATAAATGAACTTGTTTTAAGTAAATAATGCTTTAATATTGATTTAAAAAAAATACTAGTTCCACTGGCATATTATTTCACTTAACACATTTTCCCATATTATAAGTGTATTAATCTGCCAGTGGAAATGGTATTTACTTAAATCTCGATGAAAAGTTACTTATAAGTTAGTTTTGTTTTATTTAAAGTTTACTAAGATATTTGTACTAGACACCAGGCAGAAACTACTTGGTAATGTTCTGTTTTTTGTGGATTTAGAAGCAGTTCAGAAGCAGTTCAGTTAAACTAGATCAGCCCCGTCTGATCTAGTTTAACAGATTTCAGCTCCTGATGCTGGCTGGCCTGTCGTCACACGCTGGAGCTGCGGCGTCTTTCCAAAGTTTGGTTTCTTCTTCTTATCTGTATTCATGGCGGGGTGCCACCAGCTTCATTCGCTGCAGCTGTATTCTTCCTGCTCTTGAACGTCTCACAGTATGTAATGTGGTATGTGGGGAGTGGCCGACGGCGCTGCAGAGGTTAGCGAGCAGGTTTCATGCATCGGTGCTGCAGGGAGACTTTGCAGCACTTTAAAAGCCGCATGCGTCAACCATGATGGCAGCTTTTACAGGGAAGTATTATGTAAAATCTGCTTTTTTTTTCTTTTTTTTTTTTAGCTTTACATGACGTTGTATTGTGATTCCCTCATCAAAAATGTATCTGGAGCATTACTTTGATTCGTCCATGCATCTTGGAGAGAGATGCTTTAATCTCCCTGGCAACCATTCAGCTGTACAAAACGAATTGTTGGACCTAGCTTCGCCTTCAAGACGAAGCTCCTCTTCTGAGGTGCAGATTCCAAGCAGCACCTCCGCAGCTCCTTCAGACTAGCCAGCAGCAATTAGCAAATACCTGGTGGAACTGAGCATCCGTTAGGCTCATTATAGGAGCTACTTCTCGGGGAACGCTGGTAAAACTGTAAAGAGTTAATGAAGGAGCCATATTGGGATGATTCCTGAAAGCGGAGCTTCAGAAAGAGCAGAAGCTTCTTAAAGAGACCTTTCAAGGTGTTTCATCAAGTTATATTTGATATTTTACTTGATTATGCTACAAAATGTCGCTATGCGGATGGAAAACACAATGCTGCCCCTTTAAAAGTACTAATACTGGCAAGGCTTTGCAGTGTTGGTCCATTAAAGGTATTCACCTCCCTTAAACTTTTCTAAACAATGTTTCAAACAATAGAATATCAGTGTATTCTGTTATGACAGAAAAGCTGGTCAGTTGATGATTGATTGTTGGATAAATACGGGACAGTTCTGGAAGAAAATGCAAAATGATGGAATATTTCAAAAACGTTGAATGCCTTTCCTAAAATCAGAATAAAAAAACATTGGCGTTTATCCTTGTAACTTAAAGTATAAAAATAAAATTTCAGAGTCAGATGTGTTTGGTCATCAAGCTTAACGGCGCCCTGAATGTGAAGCCTGTGAAACGTTTGGTCAGGTTGAGATAAATCCAAATCGTGCTCAGCCTCCTGCGCCGTTTGTCTAAACCCAGCAGATACAGCCGACGGAAACAGCCTCCTGCTGCGAGCTGCATGCGTGAAATAGCAACTCCTGATAACAGCCGAACCTCATCCTCTCTCTATTGTCCAGCATCCATGTGTGAAAACAGCCTCAGAGTTTCAGGGACAATAACAGCTGCTTTCATGTTTATCTCAGATGGGTAAAATACTCTGGAAATGAATAAAAACCACAACCAGTTAGACTGAATTCATTCTAAGAAGTTTAGTTTCAGTGTCTAATATGTGGAAAGTCATCAGGTATCAGAATAACAGGTAGTTTTTATTTTTAAAGGTGACCTATTGTAGCTCCTTGAACAGGTTAGGAATGATCTTCTGGCCTATACAAAACGAGATTGTATTCTGATCAGTTCTGCCTGTTTTGAGAGAGCTTTTTGTTTCTTTAAATCCAACTAATGACTATGCACCCCAACTCAAAGAGAAGTGCAATTATACAACCTGGCATCTTTGAAAAGCAGAAGTGGAGCCTCCTGCACAACCAACAACAACACAGCAGTTAGTTTCTGAATAGTAAATCAACAAAACACTTTTTTTTTCATTGCAGCCATTGCACGGCACATTCAGCGGGAAAACCAGCTGATCAAACGTGCTTGAGATTCTCTTGGGTTGCTAGGTTACGGACTGGGGTTGCTAGGTAACGATGCAGTGTGACTCAACATTCAGATTCATTTTCCAAACACCAAAAAATATTCACTTATTGCCACAAAACACCTGGGTGTTTTTTTGTTGTTGTTTTTAGAAGCAGTAGAGACCAAATGGCAAAATCCAGATCTAGGGCTGGACAATATGGCTTAAAGTTAATATCAACATTTCTTTTGTATAAGATACGATTTCTTATTTTAATTTTTTTCCTTGCTTTCTTTTATACAAAAAACATGAATGAGAGAAAATATATTCACAAGGTGGCTTTTCTTTCAATCATCCCTTCTGTGATAGTTTCGTGTTTTATTCTCCTGATATTACAGCTGTACTTTGGTAATTTTATGAGTTCATTCTAGTATTAGTTCAACTTTATTGTCATAGAACTTTTTCTTGTATTATTGCCACTTTATTCTGGTAGCGTTATGAACTCTAATATTATGACTTTATTCTGGTAATTAAAATAACATAAATCGTAGCCAGGCTGTAAAATTTTGTCGTAAAGTTGACCTGGATTCAAAGTCCAAGCCAAGATGGCCGCTCTAGGGGTCCTGACACCAGTCATCGGTGAAAGTATAATCCAGATTTTCTAAAAATTAAATCTTCAAAAAACAAAATGTGGTTTAATTGATCCAGATCCACAATGTCTTTAATCTGCATCGACCCAAAAAGTATCCAAACATCTCCGGTTGCTGAGGAGGAAAACATGGCCTCCCTCTGCTAAAACCAGCAGAATCATGTAGGAACACGAACACCAGGGGCAGTTCATGATGCGGTTTGCTCTTACTTTATGATGTTATGACAGGTTCAAACTGCTGGCTATCAGATGTCAACATGCGCCCGCAAATCCTTTCATTCGGAGGTTCGTTTCCTTCGCTGCGCTCAGATGTTTCTTTGTCTGGATGACATGCGGCAGCGCGTGTTTGGAGGAAAAACAAAACATGCAATTATGGAGTTTATTTGGCGACTGTTCAAATAGAGTTCTGTTCTGCCAAAACAAATTAAATCTGTGATGTAAAGATCTCGTTATCCAAATAAACTTTCTAAACTCTGTGTTCTCGCTGTGTTCTTGGCTCAGACGTCTTTCCTCAGGCTTATGTTCACATGTGTAGTGGAAAAGAGGGAACCTTCCATCAATACTAAGGTTTTTATGCAACACTTAACTCTACAACTGTTAATATTTATTTAATAAAAATAAGTGGAAAGTTTTGCTTGGAAAACTAAGTTTGCAGAATCAACTTTAGCTTTAAAACCTGAAAAAGTCAATATTACTTTGCAAAAACGCAAAATTACCGGGTATTTTTGTCTAGTTTCTAGTGCAAATATCTTTGTACACTTGAAATAAGACAAAACTAATTTGCAAGTAACTTTTCAGCAAAATATAAGAGCTTGTTTTAAGTCAATAATTTCTTAATATTGATGGAAAAGGTATGAATTCTCTTGTAACATGAGAAATGTGTTGTTACAAGTGAACTAATCTGCCAGTGGAGCTAGTACTTTTTAAATCAATTTTAAGGAATTATTTACTTAAAACAGCTGCTATATCTTCCTGAAAAGCTACTCCTAACTTATAAGACAAAACTAAGAAAATAGTAAGATCTTTTTTATGATCTTAAAAGTATATACTTATTTTGCACAGATTTGGCTCCTCTGAGTATGTTGTTTTTTCATAAAATTGCTCTTTTTTGTCTGTACACTCCGGTTAATGATTAATCAATTACTAAATTAGTTGATTATTTTAATTATTTAACCGAGTTTATTGTGATTAATCACAGTTTATTGTGATTGATTGTGATTATTCCCGATTAATCGTTTTAGTCCTAATCGCCTGGTGTTTTCTGCTGCTTGTGTTTCAGGATGGATCTCGATAACGTGACCCAGAATATTTAAAGTGTTGTTCTTTTAAAGTAGATTAAATTGTAACCCATCTGAACAGGGAGATGTCTAATACCTCATCACAGAGGGCCATGTGTTGCCAGACGGTCTCATTCATGAAATATCATTACTGGTTTCAGTGAAACGGGAACCGCGGCTGAAAGCAGCCCAGTGTTTCCGCACATCTGGCCACAGGCGACGCGCCAACATGAACACCAGCCGCTGTAGTTACCCGACGTCGGAGGGATTGTTTATTGTCTCAGTGTTTTTCTGGCTTTACACCAGATCAAGGTCTCACCACAAACTACAGGATGGGGGCATTAATTACTCACCATATGTAGCAGATGTGGCCTTCAGCTTCACAAAGCCTTAATATTCTGTGGTTTCAGTGTCATGACTTGGTAGCCAGGCAGCTTTTTAACTACTTATTGTTTTATCTTTGTTGTTGTTGGGCCTGCTGCAGAATACAGTAATAATCTAACTTTAGTTGTATTGTTTTTATCTTCAAAGTGTGGTTCTGGCGCTTGAATTTTGTTGTGGTACAAACCCTGTTCCTGGTTTCATCTTCCCACAAATCTTCATCATTGGCCTATCAGGAGACATTTTGTCCACACAGATCTCTGTTGGGTCTCTTTTCTCATTAATATTAACTCATGTCTTGTTTCGATTTCACAGCGCCGGCCCCAAAGGAGACAACATCTATGAGTGGAGGTCGACCATCTTGGGCCCTCCGGGCTCCGTGTACGAGGGAGGAGTCTTCTTCCTGGACATCGCCTTCACACCCGACTACCCATTCAAACCCCCCAAGGTCAGTGGACACGTCCTTCTGTTTTCAATTAAATTAAACAATTTAAACTTATGATCTCCAGTCAGTCAAAGCGGATAAGTTTTGTTCTTGTTTTCCTTTCCAATGTCGCCACATACACTGTTGCAAAGTCAGTGACTCAATGACATTTTTTACCATTTTGCATAATAAGCTGAACTTAAATGTATTGTATCATCTGTATATGATAGAATTGACAGAAATGCTCAATATAACTGGAGCCTATCTCAGTTATTTATTAAAGGTGACCTGTTATGCTTCCTTGAGCTGGTTAGGACTATACAAAGCATGTTCATTGCATCTTTGCACAAAATCATTCTTATATAATGAGATTTTAGTCTGCTCAGTTCCAGAATGAGCTGTTTTAAGGCATCTTGTCACTTTAAATCTAAATGATCTGCATCTGGCCCCCAACTTTACATCAACACTCACACGTGAAAGTTGCTTATGTGAAATTATTATTGCATTCTTGTTGGTTGTGGAGGAGTCTCCACTTCTGCTTTTCAAAGATGGTATATATTGGTGGTATATTTGCACATCTGTCTACAGCCATTTTCACGCGGCAAGCAGCAGTTTATTTAAATTTAAAGTGACAAGACACGCTAAAACAGCTAATTTTATTTATTAGAAATTATTTTATTTTGTAATGTTTTGCTATTCTTAAATGATCGCTGTGGTAGATTAGCTACCGCTGCTATTAGCTAGCCTAACACAGCAGTGGTTGATTATCTAATTTAAACACCTGCTCTACTGGTGATCTGTCAGAGTTGTTGTTTAGGTTGCTTTCTTTTATTTTGTAACTGAAAACCAGCTAATTCCACAGCACATCCTAATTAAGGTTGTCAAAGTCAAGCTAGCATAGCTGAACTACTTCCCTCTCCCACATTTCTTTTTTTCTTAATTAAAATTTTTTTCTGACCTTGTTATCTAATTGTCGTAGTGTTGACAATTAGTACCAAAGCACTGAGTAACTTCTTCTTTTAAATATCAGGCGTACATTTAATCTTTAGCGCATTATGTTGATAATTTAACAGCTAAAACCAATGCTAGTCATAATCTCCAAAGTGGTGCTGGAAAAGCTTGAAAAGTGCTTGAATTTTACCGAGGGAAGAGTTAACAAACTCTGGTTGTAGAGAATCTACAATGTGTGAATCTCTTCGGTTTATATTTGTAGCTTTTTGACATAGATCTGTTTCTATTAGCAAATCAAACTCTGTTTATTCCAAACACATCCGCTGTCTGGGAAAGTCTCGTAGATATTTTCGGTGCGGCAAAAAGAAAAACAAAAAAACCTGTCCAGAGGTTTTCCATACACGCACGCACACACACACACACACACACACACACACACACACACACACACACACACACACCTCCTTTTCTGTCTTTGTGCTGTGTTACCAGCAGCACCGTGTTTGACAGAAGACTCAAACAAATCCACAGGCTCCGACCCAGCTTTCTGTGGCCAGAGGGATCGAGTGTTTCCGCCCCCTTCAATACCTCTTACCCCATCCAGCACACTGTGATCTGCAGCCAAACCCCCCTTTCAAACACACACACACACATGGTGTGTGCAGCCACACACACCTTCACTGCAGAAATGAATGGGCTCTGGTGGGAAGTTTGGTTTTAAAACGAGGAATCTAGAGTCCTTTTCTTGGGGGAGGGGGGACACTGGGGTTGGATGGAGGTTTTCCTCAGGGTCAGGAGGTCAGAGCCTGATTTCTGTGGGAGGTTATTAGCTGGTTGAGCTCTCAGGAAGGAGTGTGTTATCCTTATGATTCACCGCTGGAGCCCGCGCCATCACAGGAGGCTGTTTACTTTTACAAGTGGAAGAACTAATTGACACTTGGGTGCTGGAGTCCAGTTTTTCTTAACAGAGCTCATATTGTTGAGGTGTTGTGCTTTTTAGAACGAGCTGCCCTCTGGTGGTCAGGTTTTTAAAAGCACCAGATTTAGTAATGCTCTGATGCAGAATTTAAAGGTGACCCATTATGCTTCCTTGAATAGGTCTGTAGAGAACATGCTCATTGCATTGATTACACTAAATCATTCTTAGATAATGAGATTTTAGTTTTTAATCTGTTTAGGCTCCTTTCAAAATGAGCTGCTTTAGAGCCCCTTGTCACTTTAAATCCAAATAATCTGCTGCTGGCCCCAACTCGACGTTTACACTCGCACGTGAAAATGACTGAAAACAGATGGTCAAATATGCAACTCTACATCTTTGAAAAGCAGAAGTAGAGCCTCATGCACAACTGACAAGAATACAGCATGTAGAATTCAGCTGGGGTTGCTAGGCAACAGGCTGGGCTTTGCTGGAGTTGCTCGGTAACGGGGCAGTCCCTGCTGATTTGTGACATTAAATTCGGGAGGTTTTTGAAACTGATGTTTTTGACAAATGACAAAATGTTGGCAAATGCTTTTTAGTGTCTTGAAATGATTTGAGTGTTTTTTTAAGTGCTTGGACTGTTTTTAGGAGCAATAGGAACTGAAATGGAGGAACAAAAATGTGCAAAATGTGAATTTTGTGTAAACCAAGAAGGATGCAGCAAGTAGTTCAGCGATAAAACACTTGTCTTTCCCAGCAGCTGGCATACAGCGATAAAATTAGCTGACCAAACATTCTAGAGCTCTGCTTGGGTTGCTAGGTAACGGTGCCAGGCTTGGCTGGGGTTGCTAGGTAACGGTGCGATGCCTGTGGAAGGTTTTTGAAACGGCTCATTTTCCAGACTCCAAAAAAATACATACTTATTGCCAAAAAACGATCGGACGTTTTTTTTGTTGTTGTTGTTTTTTGTCTTCTTAAGCGTCAAATTAAAGCATGAAACCATAGGAAATGTGAACTTTGCATAATCCCTTTAAAAGAAATCCCATATTTAAGTCCTGATAAAATACAGTCGTTTAAAGATCTGTAAATTTGTCGGCTACATTGACGAATGGTGCAAACGGCCCTCAGTGGAGCTCTCAATCAACCTTTACAGCAGCACTGACGCTGGAAAGTCAGCGGTAATGTGACGCTGAG